CAGATGAGATCTGAAAGTCACTGATGTACATTCATTGTTTTTTTTGTACACACATTTTAGCTACAATTTATACCCTCCAGAAATACACAAGTGGTCTATCTTCATTTGCCAATCCCTTTAAAGGCTTTATATGTGATTTTTTTGATCCAGCAGATGTCGCCCTTGAGCACCAGCATGAAACCAAAACAACTTGCGCTGCATTGTTGTGTTAGCATGCTAATGCTAGCGATCTTTATTATGCTGGTATCTTCACACTGCATGTAAATTTACCTGAAATGAGCGTGATCTAGAAACACAGTTAAGCAGTGAGTACAGTATGTTATTCTTCTTTTCTCTAGTCCCTCAATTAAACAACTTTTATACACGAGGGGAGGAGTCAGCCGGCCGTCCAGGCGATGTAAACAAAGTGAAGATAGGACTCTGAAAACTCTGAAAACATCACAGACAGTGGGACTCGGGTGTTACACCCATTGTAGACAGTCATGACTCACAGAGTTATTTTCAGAGGATAACTTGATTTATATTACATTTAAGTGTAAAATCACATATAAAGACTTTAAAGGTGTTTGCACATCAAAATATCTCATGAAGCTGCTGCACACTGCATGATTTTCTCTTTTTATGAACACATAACACAAATGCAACATAAAAAAAAACTGCATATAAAGTGGATTTACTAGATGAGGCATTAAAATCCCCAGCATGCATTGAGGTGAAAATGGGCTCATTTTCATCAGATTTACTCTCAGCATCACTAAAGCCATCTCCAATACAGATATCATCATCAGCGAGGTCAGTCGGCCATATCACCATCCGCAGCAATCTCGGTCATGTTTCTCATGAACATCTTAAATCTGCTCCTTCTCTGCAGTCTCCAAAGGAGGATTCCCTGTCAGAGGCTGAGAAGCTGCAGGGCAAGGATGCGTCCAGGGGAGTGGATGTGAAGTGACAGAAGCTGCATGTATTTATAGGCTAACTGAGTAAAGGAACGTGCTGCTCACTGTTGAAGCTATTTATAGAGGCTTTTACTGATGCCTCTGAGTAGAGTAGTGGGGAGGAGATGGTTCTCCTGGGAATAAGTTACGAGGCTCCCTCATATCTCTCTCCACCCCCCATTCAGGGCACGTCTGCCCTTCTGCTCTCCATGACTCTACTCTGCTCATCCCTCCATCCTCTTCCCATCCTATCCCATCGATTCTCTCCTTCTCAATTTCCATCCTTGTCCACTCTGGTCTTTCTCCCCTGCTGATCTCCTCTTCTATTCTACATCTATCTTCTCCCCTTTTTCCTCTTTGCTCACGTCTAAATCCATCACCTCTCCCCTCCCCTCCCTCTCTGCTTCTCCCTATATGTTTTCCAGATCTTCTCACTACTACACCACATATCACTCACATCAAAGACCCATTCTCACTGTTTGTATGCAGTGAGCAGAACCATCTCAGGCGCTTCTCTTAAACCCTCATCATCAGCCGGGACTCTGGCAGAAGATCAGACTCGTCTTCTGACGACGTTGCCTTAGAATGATGTGAAATAGTGCAAGAAAATTGCTGATGTAAAAGGGGTTTAAAAGTTAGGCATACTATCAAACAGTGACAGGTGATGCTGTTTTAAAGTTTCATTCCCTTCCCTTCAAATTCATCCTAAAATCTCCTCTGGTATAATTGTTTGATCTGCTTTACAATCCAAATCCAATCTTGAGAAATGTGTTTATTCTCCTGTTTTTAAATATCAGTCTTAAATCAGCGTTAATCCTGATCTTAAGAAAATATGCATTTGTGTTTGGTCTGGTAGCTGGAGAGGTGCCAGTCCACTTCCTGAGCACTGCCGAGGTGCCCTTGAGCAAGGCACCGAACCCCAAAAAACTGCTCTGGAGCGCTCTCTGTGGGCAGCCCCCTCACTCTGACACCTCTCCTTTAAAACATGTCCAGTGTCTCCCCTCGGTTTAGAGCTCTGGGGGGGGGGGGGGCTAACAGCGCATCCCCTGAGTAACAGCAGAGAGAGAGAGAGAGAGAGAGAGAGAGAGAGAGAGAGAGAGAGAGACATGCCCAGAAAAGTCAGAAGTCAACTAAGCCGACTACTTTATTTTCTGATGCTTCTTCTGGACTTTTTATTATAGCGTGTGCGTCCGTCAGACACAACCACACACACCCAGGCCTCTGCTGTGAGAGTGTGCTCACCTGTGTGCGCGCAAGTGTGTGTGTGTGTGTGTATGTGTGTGTGCATCGACACAGAGAGCAGAGGAGAATTGTAAACGTGCGACCATGTAGAGACAGAAATGACATGGCGTCGTGTAAATAAGATAAATAACATGAGGCTATTAGTTTGGTTAATAAAAGGAGGCGGTACAGACCTGTTCTATTGGAAAGGTATCCTCATGACTTCTGTTGTGATCAGGCGCTATATAGAAAATAAAATGAACTTGACCATCAAGGGGGGCGGGGGGTGCCTGTTGTCTTCTCACCTCTTTCTTTTCCTGTCTTGAGGAAGCCAAAATGCTTCCACACCTCCCTCCCACCTCCCTCAATTTCAAAATTTTGCTCTGCAGCTGCCCAACCGCCATCTTGCTCTACAGCTGCTGACGCTCAAGATAGTACTGCGATTCATTTTTCAGAGTAGCGATGTGAATCTTGACACCTTTGAATCGATCTTTACATCCCTACAAGTGAATGATAAGAAGTGCATGTGAAAAAGAAACCAGCGCAAAGAAATACGCAGACAAATCATACAGACAAAAAGACTCGCAAGCTTCCTGGAGGCAACAACACTACATGTAAAAAAAGTTATTAATAACATTATCACAATCAATTCATGATTTTTAGGGGAAGAATGGCAAATCCTTAAGCCAAGTGATGTAACAGGATGCAGGAGTTGATGTCAACATGTGAGCCTCCTGGCTGCATGAACAAACACACAGGCACACACACACACTCACATGCAAAGACACACACACTTCCTCCCACGTCCTTCAGCCCTGACAGCATGTTGTGATGCAGAGTGGCGTCTGCTTGTCAAGCTGACAGACTCGCACTGACAGCATGGTCAGAGCACTGTAGAGGAGGGGAAAAAAAACAAAACACACTGATTTTACAACGCTCCAAACCACAACAACAAACAGCCTGCCGGGCACGAGCAGCGCAGCACTGGGCAACCTCATCCCCTGTTTTTTTTAGCAGTCTGATGCTGTGTCACTCTGATGGTTGAGCAACGCTTGCCTTTGTGTGTCTCTGAATGCCGGGAAGTCATGCAGAGAATGTTTTTTTGTGGCATCCTCGGGCCAACTGTACTGCATTTTGTGCGACATAGTTGGCCTGTTGACCAAAGGCTAATTAAATCTGGGACGTCAGCTGGAGAGGAATTTGGGGAATGTCTGTTAAATGTTATTTTATTAATTTAAATATTCAGCGTATTATTCAAAGCCGCCATGCAGGAGGTCTAAGGGGTTTGAATTCCTATAATCTTCACAACAGTGTATCAGCTTTATTATGTGATAAGATAATAATAATAAGTTAATTATGGGGATATCATTACTGCTCACACGTCACACAGTGACTAGCTTTCCATTTTCATACGTGCCTAATGGCAGCTAATATGAAACCTGGTGACAAATCTGTGGTTCATGCTACCAAAAAGGGCCGGTGCCGATCTTTGGGGTTGAAGTGGGTGAGGAACTTGAGCTATTTCCTGTCACCTCAATCCTCACCTTTTCAATCTGCCTTCACTATTTCACAGCAAAAACAGGCTGTCAAAGGTAAAAGCAGAGAAAGAGAGGGGGTGAGTTAACTTAAAATGATGACAGAAAGGAAGAGAGAATGAGAAGGGACAGTCAGAGGAGACATAAGAAGGAGCAAAGTGTGAAAGCAAAGAGATGGAGACGACAGGAGTAGTCAGGGAGGAGAGGAGAGGAAAGAAGAGGGAGAGAGAGAGAGAGAGAGAGAGAGAGAGAGAGCTCAGGAAGTGTGCAGCTGTGGGAGAGTGTGAAACAATCGCTTCTGTGTCAGCGGCTCAACACACCGACAGAGGACATCTAGTGTAGTAGAGGTTACCAGCCTACAGAAAAAAAAAAATGATATATCACATCAAATCCTGGCTTGACTGGTTCAGATCTGTCTGTCCACAAACAGCCAAAAAGGCTAGTTCATTAAACTCAAACCACCTTTGCTTGCTAAACAACCACACAGCATGAGGTTAATGAGATGAAATAACAGCCTTTCAACAAACACCAGATCACAGAGCACAGATCCACACACATAGACTCCCCTTCATACGTGCATGAAAGGAGTCACATGAAGTGGGCCGCTGCAGTCTCCAGAGAAGCTAATTCATAAGCTGCTGGCTGTATTTGACAGCATGCAGACACCGAGGAGGACGGCGTTCCCTCAACGTCAATCTCTGTATTGGTACAGCCCCCTCAACAGGCATCAAACCACAAAATGACGACACAGTGTAAGCATCGACACACACGTCTACACACACCAACAGGATGATGTTTCTGTGGTTTAAATTCCTCACACACATAAAAGAAACATCTTCCAAATGTATTCCCCTTGAATGACATGTAAATATCTTTGTATATCGTTGTGTGAGTTGTGCGTGTCGAGTGTGTGCTGAAGGGGGGTAGGGCGTCAAGGCAACGCAAAGCCTAGAGACAAGAGACTGGTTGCCATGGAAACCTCAGGCTGAGAGAGCTCAGCAACCGGACGATTGAGGGAAGAAAACGAGCAATAGACGGGAGGCACTGAGAGAAAGATCATGTGTGATTAAAAAAAAAAAAAGAAGAAGGGGGGGCAAAGATGGAAATATAAAAACAGAGGAAGTAATGATGAAGAGAGGAGGGAGGGGGAAATGATGATCTAAGAAAGAGACACAATGAAAAAGACAATTACAGACACACGGCAAAGGCAGAGGAGCTGAGATCAAAGAGTAAAAAAAAAAAAAACTGAAGGAGTGATAGAGGCCGTTTGAAAGTGAGCTTTTGGAGGCGGGGGGTGATGTGAACTCACAGGGAACAGTGCGGAGGTAGAGGTTGTCTCTGATGATCTGCTGGTGGTCGTGGTCCACCGAGCCCTTAGAGAAGCGCAGGTTGAGGTAGTGCCGCAAATCCTTGTCAACCACCCCCCCTGAAACACAAAGACAGAAAACAGAAATTAGCATTTGCTTTAGGAAAAAGAACGTAGAAGTGAGTGAGTGCTGCACTGGGTTAGAAAACAAAATAAATATAGAAAACTCAGGTGCTCTTCAGGAACAGGAAAAATGAAGTGTGGAGAGGAAGTCTTAAACTGAAAATCCGAAGCTCTCTGATAACATTGTTATGCATCACACATTCAGTGTGGGATTGTCAACGCGTTTCAACATGATCATGATACACATGACACATTTCAAACATCTGATTAAGATGTAAACAAACACAGCGACTCGTATATCATGACACAAAAATGTTTCAGAACTTGTTTAAGTACGGTAGGATGAGAGAGTTCAATGCAAAGCACACACACACACACACAACGTTACAAAAGTTGTTGTTAGAGGCGATGCATATATAATTAAATAAAAGCAAAGTGGAAGAATAAGTATTTGCTTTATTTGATAACAAACATGCATGGAACACAAGTCTGGAAGATGTTAAAGATCGGCTGTGTAAAAAAAAAAAAATGGAACAAACTAAAAGGATTTCCAAATACTGACTCCTGAGGTGCAGACGAGCAGCGCTCAACCTAACTAAAGACTTTTTAACTTCAACGAGAATATTTACATTTGACGGATTCCACACACACAACAAATGTCAACATGAGTTTAAACATTAGTCTCACGGCAAACAGTGAGTAGCTCCAACAAAGAGTTGCAACAAGCTGATTCAGAATGTACAGCTTGTAAGACTGGCAGTAAAAACGAGACTAAAGACCGATCCATGATGCAGATTTGTTCACTTTAGTTCTAACGCTATCACACGTGTGCGCTACATAGCTGTCACTGATAGGCCTGTGCATTTTGCTAAGTGGAGCCCACATAGCATGGAGGAAGCTAACAACAACGGCTAAACAGTTTGGAGGTACTTCATGCTTATTATGGCCGACCCCTTCTACGACAACAAGCAATATCTGCACAGCTGTGCTATTTATTTCATTTTATTTAACCAGGAAAAAGTCTCATTGAGATTAAAAATCTCCTTTACAAGAGCGTCCTGCAGGCCAAGACAGGCTGCAGCACAGTTACAGGGTTTCAGACATAAAACACTTAACAACAATGAACATAAACACAGGAATCACAAAAAGAACCGTTCATCAGAATCTGTCAGAAGTCATCAGCAACAAGGCGATCAAAAAGGGGCAATACGAGTTAGCTACAAACATCTACAGTCAGATATTTCTGCCTCCAGATAATTAAGACCACCTTTAAAAACATTCAAGGAAACCAGCTCCTGAACATTTAAAGTATCTTACAACCGATTCCAAGAAGAGGGAGCAGCATACTTGAACGCCCTTTTTCCCAATTCTGCGAGCGAAGATGGTAACTTCCATGACTTTTTTGAAGTATGTATCTCTGTAGGTAGGATGGAAGCAGACCGAGAATACCCTTATAAATAAAAACATGTCAGTGGTTTAGTCTACGTGCAGACCAACCAACCCGAGCACACAAGGAGCAGTTCACTTTGTCGACTGCATTGCAAAGAAGACGCAAGAAATTTTTTCCAGTTATGTTTGAAAGTGACAAAACACTTTGAACAACTGTACAGTTTGCCATCACATAAATCATTTCTAAAACAGTCTGCCTGGTATTTTCAAGAACATGTGTAAGCAGAATTTATGAATGCTAAAAGCTATGAGCTTCACTGTAGACACCTGGAGCTGTGAGGTTACCACAAAGTGCAGTGAAACAACCTACAGGCTAAAAAACTTCCACAGATCACACACCAGCAACTACATTTTAACTGCCCCCAAGGAAATACTTTGTCAGTCTACTAAAACATAGACAACAAAGGAGTGCAGAGCTTTAGCTGCTTTGCACATACAAAGCAGCTCCATGAGGATTCACTTTGACAGCACAGGTTGAGTGATGCGCAGTGTGGTGGGCAGATTGTGATAACAATTTCAGATTATATTTATTCATTTAAATTTGTTTTGCAAATATCCAAAACCTGATGCTACCTTCCAGAAAAAATGATTCACAGTCTCATCCTCACATTGAGAAATAGAGGTTATTAAATTAACAACTGAGATCTGATCGGTAACGCTAATGGCAAAATACCCATAGCCAAGGTATCAGATCAGTATCGTAGCTCATGCAGTTGGATCGCTGTTTTACGGACAAAGCAAAATAGCAGAGGCTACCACACACACACACACACACACACACACACACACACACACACACACACACACACACACACACACACACGCGCGCGCACACGCGCGCACACAAATCATGGTCGCTGTGTTCACCATGTGATCCCCTTGGGTCTAAATGTGCATTGTCAGCGGGTTGGGTGAAAAAGGGACCACAGAGGACAGCAGCTCATCTCATCTCATCTTTCTGCCTCTGCTAATTATTTGCCGTCTTTCTCATTAAGTTCCCTGATTGAAACATACAGTCCAAAAAAAAATGGCACATATATAAATGAAGGAAGAAGACTTGAGAGCAGGCCAACATATCTGTGCTGCACACACACAGTAAGATAATGTCCATGAATTGTTTCTCCTCCCTTCATCCCCAAAGCAAAGAGGCCCGAGAGGATGAGAGGAGGAGAACTTATTCTCCACACAACATTCAGTATGCAAAGACTATCACATCCGACAGCAGGAGGTATGAGGTTACAAGCCATGCATTTACAAATGAAAAACATGTCCTCTCACACATGCATACTCTAGAGCGACCTCCTGCTGAATTGCCTTGACAGGTTTTGGCCTACCGGTTGAGATTAAATGCCGCTCACACCCGTCCAAAGAGAAAATATAGCTTTCAGACAGAGAAGATATTCTGTACATATGCTCACATGGAATGTGAAGGTTTCTCCAATATGTAGCTTGTCTGTGTCTTTTCTTGTAAGGAATCTTTTTTGGAATAACATCTTATGTAAACTGACACCATTTTAGCGAAGGCTGTGAAGCACAGTTTATGACTGCACGAACAGCAATGCTAGAAAAAAAAGGAGAGAGAGCCAGAAAACAAAAGAAGACAGGATGAATTCTTGATTCTTGATTTTTAGGATTGTCGCAGTTTTTCAATTGACCACACACATCACATCGTGCAGCTATGCATGCCGGCAAACGCCATATCTTTGAATTGCACGGACACAGACGCACACATATTTATACATGCATACCACCACACACAGCTGTATGCACAGAGAGGGGACGGAGAGAACAGACAGTGACGTTAAAGGAAGTGCAGACCAGACACCTCATCGGCAGCTCGTCCAGATGTTGAAGAAAAGCCGTCCTTTTCTCTACGGGTATACATCCACAGACAGCCTGTCCTCCCAGGTGTCCTCTAGCCTCGTAACCAACAACTGCACATCTTCTGCCGCCGCCTGGGTGAAAACCTCAGTGTCCTCCCTTCTGCTTCTCCACCGCTGCTCCAGCACAAACACACACACACACACACAACCACACACACACACACACAACCAGCACCTGGCTGCAGCCAATTTTTAAATCCCACAGAAAAAGGACGAGGACGAGGGGGAGAAGGGAGATGCAGGGAGACGCGGAGAGATGGTGAGAGACGACTCAACAACCAGCCAATCGGATTGGCTAAAGAGCTCCACAGTCCTGCAGCAGCCCCTATCTGCTGCTGCTGTCACTGCACTGGAGTTTTTATATAGCACTTGTATGGTTAGTGTTTGTGTGCTGAGAGAAAAAAAAGCCTGAGAGAGAGATGCAAGAGAAGAAACTGAATGTTGATCTCTTTGAAAGCATTTATAGCTGTGTGTCAGTGTGTATATTTGTGAGTGCACCCAGGTCCTCAAATAGTGTGCTTGCCAACAGATCTCTCTCCCTGTTTGACCTTGTATAGACGTCACCGACTGGAGAGAAATACTGTGAAAGGCAGCGGCATATGTCACAGTGAGGTTACACACACTCATAAGCACACAGAGGCCGATGGGCTCACAGCTGCAGACACCAGTGAAGACGCCTCGAGCGACGTCTTGGGCAAGGTTCGGTTAACACACACAAAAACAAAATTAACACCAACACAGAAACACATGATGATGATATGATTGCTCAGCTCAAGATTTAAAGTATAGCTAAGAGTGGAGGAGGCAAATACAGCAAGAGAGCTCAAATTAATATAATTGAACTCGCAGACCGTGCTTTAAACATCACAGCTTTTTTTGACGCTGGCTGTTTTAACAAAAGTAGAAATGATTGTATTGAATGATTTTTAAAAACGGTAGCACAACAATGGCGGGGGGGGGGTGATGGCAATGAAATATCACAGTATCAAGGCAGACAGCGTTTACTGAGGCTTCTGGGAGGTAAAAGCATTAGTCCATGCAGGTGACATGGTTCTTCTTTCCATCGGATGACCCTCAGCCAACCTCCCCACCCCCATGCCCTGCACCTCCAAAAATACACTCTGCATAAATCAACACACTGTGGGGTAAAGTGTGTCTACTGTCTCAGGGTCTTGTAGTGAGGGGCAACGCCCGGGTGAGTTAAGGAGGTTAGCATGAGGTTGAAATCCAAATGTGGAGATTTTAGTCTACACAACTAGGGATGTAACGACAGACTCAATTCATGATAGGGATGGGTACTCGAGTACTCGCCGTTGACCCCATTATTCGAGTAACATTTCGTTACTCGCTCACCTGTGCTAGCTCTGCTTTTGGCTACAAAACTTGAACTCACAGCGTTACATGTGTGACCCAGCTTTTTGTTTTCACCTAACTGAATATACTAGGTAGGGAAATAATTAACGGGATACAAACGTATGACTTCTCCGGCCACGGCTTCAGCTTTAGTACACACCGAGCCAGATTTCAGCAAAAACAGCTGTTTTACGGCAGCTACGGCAACTCTCTAGGGACATATTATTACACCGAAAGCAAAAGCACAACAAATACAGAACCGTCTGCTACACCTGCAACATGTCAGTCAAGAAAAGTGATGTCTGGAAGTACTTCGACAAAAAACGATGAAGTTAATGTGCAGTGCAAGATATGTGACGTTAAACTTGTATACCACAGAAATACTAGTTCAATGCTTAACCACGTGCACTTAAAGCTCAAGGAGAAAACAGGCAGTCTCGCATCACGTCATTTGCTCGCCCTGTTAGTGACGTCGTTGTTAACGACATCTTTGAAATTGAAATGGCTTTCTGTTGTTGGTTATTTATTTATATTTATGTTTAAATATTGGATGTTTATGTCATTTTACAGGCATCAATTTAATCACTCAATCAATTTTTATTTGTATAGCGTCAACTCATAACAAGTGTTGTTGCTGTTCTGACAGGCATAAAGTCTACAATTCGGGTCCGAGAGGTCCGTGTCCGATGGACCCTTTTTTCGTTTACGGTAAAAAAAAATAATAATAATCTGCGGGTACTCGAGTACTCGTTCATTCGGTAATTTGAGTAATCAAGTACAGGGATTACTGTAAATTCCCATCCCTAATTCATGATTGAATCCTTTTTGTAATGCTGGGTTCACTATGTTTGTTGTGATTTTTGCGTAAGTAACTTAACTAACTGTCACTAGTGATGCTTTCATTTTGCATTTTCTCACTGCCTTACACCGAGTGCTAACAGCAGGCGAGCGTTTGATGTCACATTGCGCCGTCCACACTGCATCTGTTAAATATTTCTTTCTCTGCTCTGTGAATTTCAGTTTCCCCCTTGCAAACAGTATGACATCTGGTGCTTTTGTAGTGAATGTGTGATGCTTTGTTTTGACGAGCTGTTGACACAAATCACAACACTCAAAAGGTTCCACCAATAAACAGATGGTCAAGGACAAAATGGCGCGCTGCGTCGCTCGCAGGCGAGTTCGGACACTCCAATAGGAAGCAATAGCATCAAGATGATTTTGTTGCTGACGCTGGCATTGCGTTTTGTCAGGACATGCTGATACACCGAGGTAACTTTATTTCCTGTTTTGATAACATGCATGCTTTTATGTTGAAGTGACACAAAAGTACGGAGGAAATTGATGGCTAAAAGAATAAACTGTGAAAAAATGTTCGATGACATACATACATACAGATCATTAAAAAATATAGTTTAGACAATAAGAAATGTTCAACCATCTGGACAAAAGCCTTCCTGTAGTCTTTCCTACATTACAGCATCAGGAAACCTCAGGTGAGCATGTCGAACCAGGTCGTGAAAATCAACCATAAAAAAAACACAACGTACTCTAATGCCTTTGTTGCTTAGCAAGACAAAATAAGTCGATTCATTTACACACTAAGACACTACAACAATGTTATTGAGCAAAGACATCCAAGAAAACGGAATATTTGAAAGTCACTTATTCAACCTTTTTAGATAATTTAGGCAATTTTCTGCCCTCATTCATAATATAGTTTAAAGAGAGACAGGTAGCCTAACGCAGGGACGCAGAGAAGTGGTACCACTGAAGAACATTGCAAATTGATCCTCTATGCCACAAAGACGCTCTTACATCAGCTGATTTTAATTTTGTGTTTCTGTTGATGGACTTTTTTGTCGTTCACTGCAATGTGCAAGAGACAGTCATAAGAACATAACTGATTTTTTTTTTACTTCTCATGTTACTTCAGCATCTTTTGCACTATTCACCACTGCACTGTTTCATATTTAGTCATGTAAATATTAGTATTTTCTTATTATGTTTATTGTTGATATTTAATGTTGTACCTGTACATAAGAGAGCACACTTCACCAAAGTTAAATTCTTTGTGTGTGTAAGCATACCTGGACAATAAATCTGATTCTGATTCTGATTCTGATCTGTGTGTGACAAAGAGCGCTGTACTGTTCGGAGGCAAAGCTTTTCAGTAATCAAGTTACTCCAGGAATCATTTCAGCACTAATTAAAAGACATTTTGAGATTGGAGAACTGGCATTTGAACTAGAGTTTCAGTTTTTAGTTTTTTTATTGAAAAAGAAAAAAAACTTTTTGTCGGGGTGCAGCGATGGGTTGGGATTGGGGCTTACAGGTGTGGAAGAAGTGTTCTGAAGTGGAACATGTTGAGATGTCACAGAGTACTGTTGATACTGCTGCCAATTGTGTGTTTCTTTTTATTTGTCCAAAAAAAACAATTCAAAGTTGAAAATAAGAAAATCTACACTGTGGGCTTCAAAGATATTATCCTGTAAACACTATAGTTTAACAATATTAATAATAATAATAAATTACATTTATATAGCGATTTTCTAAATACTCAAAGACACTTTGACAGGAAACAACAAAAAACAAAGCAAAAACTAAAGAGAACAATACAACATAGAAGTCGTGTTGAGGGAAGAGGATGAGAGTCAGTTTGATGAAAAGGTGAGTTTTTAGGGATTTCTTGTAGGAAGTGAGTGTGGGGGGAGTCTCTGATGATTTTAGAGAGAGAGTTCTAGAGGGTGGAGAAGGCCCTGTCGTTGCATAGCTATTAATCTTAAATGTAATTAAATGTTTTTGTGAGGCCACCAATCATAACAGAAATCTCTGTAAATGTGAGGAATCTCACTAAATTTAGATGCGAGACCTGAGAAACATTCAGTGTGCTGAATGAAAACATTTATAATCAACGGCCATTAATCTTGGCAGAATTAGAAGTACCAAATTATCGCTCTGTCTTATCAACAGCCAGCTTTATTTTAGTGCAGATATTTTATTTTAAAGCCTTTTTTTCCTGATAATTATAGCATGCTTATATTTAAAGGATGCAAGTACTGTTTAATTGTTTTTTATTTTTAGTCCAGATGTAATTCAAAACGCCAACTTGAAGAAAATAGTTTGATTCAGGGTTTTTGATTTTTAAAAACATGTTCTATGTTAAGTTGCATGGTTTGTATGTACAATTTGTTGATAGATATAGACTAACAGGGGCCATTTTGTTGGATTTGAAAGGCATAACTACGGTAGTTCTGACAAGCCCACTCAAGAGGCCAGAGGAGAGCAGGGCAGCACGGCCATGCCACATCGATTCTCTGAATTTCTCTCCTCACAAAGTTTAACTGCTAAAACTCTTTAGAGTATACAGCCCAGCAGCCACGCTTCAGGAATGCATGCTGACTTGCAAACTCTGACACTTAACATTCATGCACAAATAAACTCACACATGAAGGGCAACATGTACTTGCATGCAAATGACCAGAGAGAGACCATGAGATGCAAAACGATGCAACATCATGTCTAGGTTGGCTTGACAGTCAATTGTTTCCTGAACACAGTCCCTACTTTTACCACATGCTCCCTCCTTTGCATGCACATGCACCTTCTAACTTATCATTTAGTATTCGTCTACTTGCACATAGCTCTGTATATATTTATTTATTTCTCGTTTACTGCACATAGTTCTGTTTACATCCGTGCCTTTGAATTGCCCCACGGGGACAAATAAAGTTTTTTGAATTTGAAATTGAATTTGAATTTAAAAAAACAGGAGCGAAAAAGACACACCAAAGACCAAAAGAGCAACCACATTGAGTAAACTGATGGGCTGCCTGGCTGGTTAAA